ATATATCATTAGATTTAGTAAATTTTGTGATATAATGATTTTCATGTAATAATTTTTGAAGGGGAATAAAGCCATTATATAACTTGGGTTGGAATGTATCATATACAAAGAATTTTATCAAACAGCAAACGCAATTAGTCATTAGTTCCACGGCCGATTAAGTAATTGACGTTGGTGAAACCGGCCCAAATGGTGGTTTCCATACGAGAAGCATGCACGCTTAGCGCTTTTTTTACCTTTTTTTTAAAAAGGTAAGTTTGTATATTTACATTTACACTACACCCTTAAGGTTTCCTTATACGTAATAAGGAAGAAACACGGAAAAAAAAATTGGAAATGGTTGGAAAGAAAAATAAAATCTTGAATTTATCCATAAAACGAAAAAAAGATTCTATCAGCAACTTCAAAACATTATGTAAAGAATTAAATAAGAAAAATATATTGCAAAGTGAAGCTACATTTAATTTAAGTAATGAATTTGGTGATTTATTGATGCCTTTATTACTCAATGAAAAGAGAAATAGAAATAAATCTTCACATGTAGACGTTACTCCGAAGAGGTAAAACGATTTGCAATTACTCTGCATTATTGTTCTCCTAAGGCTTATGAGTATTGCAGGTTTGCATGTTCTTCATTTCTTTATCTCATCTCATTAAATCATTAAATATCCCAGTAAAACCAAAGTACCCTTGAACTTTAACTTTTTAACAATTATATGATATTAATTTATTTATATGAAATAATATATTAATTCTTGTTATACTAATTTGGGGCATTGCTTCTTTATAATTTACTATTTATAAAAGCATACTTTGCTTGTTTTGAATTGAATGAATTGAATTTTTTCTGATTATTAAACATGCTAAAAAAATAGTAACATTTAGCCGGAATTCATAATAGTAAATAATTTTCGATCTTTGAAAAATTATTGATTAAACAGCAAATCAAATTCTTAATGCAAAATGACCAATAAATGAGCAAAAGTATGATCTAAGATTAACGAATTAACGTATATATAAATCTCAACATTCACATGAACACATATACAAAAATTAATAATATAAAACGTTTCAACTCAGAGTCTTCTTCAGTTACAGAAATCGAAAACAATAAACTACATTTATATTAAACAAAGAAATAAACAATCTACATTCCATGATTCAACTGATGATGACAATGAGGATGAGGATGAAAATGAATATCGAAAGAATACCTTCATGTCCATCAATGATAAAATTAACTGAATATATCATGTATTATATAAGTGGATATATAGTAAAAAAAATATTAAATATTGATTGCTATTCTTGTGCGCTTAGTTTAACAAAGAGTACTAATGATCATAATTACAGTAATACTAGAACATTTTCCAAAGTTTTGGATTTTTCTAATAACGGTGGTTTAATCAGTCCGTCTAATTCCGTTTATAAAATTTGTATGAATACCGAGAAACAATTAGATATTATAACGCATGATTATACGAATTTATCTATAAAAAATTTAGATATAAAAGTTGTTAATACAGTTAAAAATAATTTTGCTCTCGATTCATCAATATTTCCAAACTTAAATTGTGATAATGTAAGCATTTCAGATTTACCACAAAAAATTCGACTTATTATGATAATTAGTTCTCGATATATTAAAATAAAGCTACATTCGTATTCTAAATTTTATTTGCAAGAAATCTTGAAACCTTATAGAAAAAGATTTCTATTAAATAAACAAATATTGTTTTCTCGAGAATAATGTAATAAAAGTCTTTAAAAGAAAATAATTTAACAAATATTTCTAGAAATATATTGTAATCCACAATTTATCATTTTCTTAATAAAAAGTATTATTCTTTAAATAAAAACTACTTTTGTTTTATTTTCCTAATGACAAAATTCACTTCTATTAAGGAATATTATATGTATATATAATACATAAAATTTAATACATGTAACGATAATTAAAATAATTAATTTTGATATTATTTTATAAGACTAAATTGTTAAATATATATTGTTTTATTAATGATAAAAAAATGATAAAAGAATTTGGTATATTTCAATTTTTATCTTATTTAACATTCAGCATTACATTTTTTTCATTTCTCCTTATATAAATTTATGTATTTAAAATAAAAATATGTTCTTTATGTTCGTATATACTTATTTTACATTTTTTATTATATCTTATAACATTTTATTTTTATAAAGCTGTAACTTTTTGTTATAGCTTTGACAAAAGAATAAGAAACATTGATATATATTATTTAGAAACATTTTTATTCAAATATAAAAATAAATTGCATGTATCGATTATAGACATTTATTTGCTATATATATGATATTCGGTGTCGATGTAACATATATATGGACTTACACGCGCATGCGTTGACTAGTAATGTTCTTACGTCACGGGCATGCACCATGAGTTTAGTACTTTTTGGAATCATGTATTAGAGCCAAGTCAGCGATCTAGTGTTACATATAAATATCTATAGTAATAAAGGATACAAATATAAGAATATAATAGCACCTTTGGTATCAGGTAAAATACAAGTTGGAACGGGTGTACCATGCGCTTGGAAACTAAACAACAAGTCAGGTAAAAGTGTTGGAAAAGATATAATACCACATGCGCGCCATGACTCTAAACGACAATAAAGTCGATTATGTTCATTGGGACGATCCTAACGAGATCGTGGATCGCTTCCGATTGCTTGAGGCCTCACGTCAAGCGGGTCACAACGCTCACAATAACGAAATTTTATCCATTATCGAGGAACTTCGTGAAGCTGGGCTTATTATAAATTGAAATGGGGTATGCAGTTATCTTTTAGTTGACATCGAAGAGTTGAATCGATCAACAATGTTTGCGTAAGATCTTTGTGACATTTTATGTATTGTATCAATAAAAATAAAAAAAGAAACAAAATGTCTGAGAAGAAAAGTCTCGGAAAGTGGCGATTGGTGGAAGAATTGCACGCTCCAGCGAGAAAAAATTTTCCACGCAGATGTGTCATAGTTTACGGATACGATGACCTGTGGCAGGCTGATGTGGTCGAGATACGCCCTTACACACGATTCAACAAAGGGTATCATAACATTCTCACCGTTATCGATGTATTAAATAAGCATGCATGGGCCTTACCGCTCAAAATCAAGAGTGGAAATGAGATGACTACAGCGATCGCAAAAATAATTTGAAGTGATGGAAAATGCCCGAAAAATTTACAAACCGATATGGGAAAAGAATTTTACAATGCAAACATACAAAAACTCTTGAAAAAACACAACATGAATTATTCAACGTATTCCGTAATGAAGACGTCAGTCGTCGAACGGTTCAATCGCACGTTGAAAAACGACATGTGGAAACAATTTACGCACAATGGAAATTATAAATGGATCGACTTGCTGCCGCGTCTCGTGTCAGAGTACAATGTGCGAAAGCATCGAACTATCGGTATGCGACCTATTGATGTGACTCCCACGATCGCCGTTAAATACGGTGTACAGTAGCGTAAAGGCTGTCGCGCCCCCGCGATTCAAAGTGGATGACTCGGTACGTGTGAGCAAATTCAAGACGATCTTTTAGGAAGGTTACACCCTAAATTAGACCATGGAGGTGTTTAGAATCGTCAAAGTACAGAAAACTAATCCCGTCACGTATCTTCTGGAAGATTACCATGGAAAACCGGTCGCTGGAGGATTCTACGAGTATGAGTTGCATCGCGTTGCTAATCCCGACGTATATCTAGTTGAAAAGGTGTTGCGTAAAAAAGGAGACAAAGTTTACGTGAAATGGCTAGGATTTGGTAATTCACACAACTCTTGGATACACAAGGATAATGTGTTATAAAAAAATAATAAAATTGATTATAAAATTTATTACAAATTGTTTAATTTTTTTTGCTATGTAATACATTACACATATTATACGTACATACATATACATATGTACGTTCATACATACATACGTTCATACATACGTTTATACATACATTTATACATACTATACATAATATACATATTAAAGATAATGTACAAAATATACTTATTAAATATATATATATATATACTATATACAAATTTATTTACATCGGTAATGTCCCCATGGCAGTGTGTCGATGGAACCTGGTAAAAGTATACCGCTTATCATCGTGCGGACTTAAAGCGATTTTTGTTTCCGAAATCGTGTACACCTCGTGCAATTTAGATCTTATGCACGACTGCCTGCGCGTCATTTCGATTGTGTCGTTCAAGCATCGAGTGTAATCCTCGGATGATATGGATCTTGCTATAACGTTGCTCTTGACACCTTTTGCCTTCTTCGTATCCCTCTATCCTTCTACACGCAAGGCATACATTTTCGCTCTAAGCCCGACGAATTCAGTCATGATCGCACCATTATTTTCATTCTTCATCAAGCCCGGAACTTTTTTATTCGTGAGTCGAATACCGTATGCATTGTCGATGCATACGGTATTCCGCTCGCGATCGCGTAATCGCTAGTGTCAAATTTGTTAATATCACGCTTCATAACACCATATACGTTGTCACACTCGATGTAGTAAATGAGACTGTCTGTGTCGGTGTACATAATTTTACATTTCTCACGATACAGCGGTAGCATATACTCGTGGTGAAATTCATACAAACATGTCTTAGATATGTCTAGGATACACATACCTACGTATATCGGTTTGTCGAACTTCACCTCGAGTTTACTCATTTCTATCGCGACCAGATTTTCAGAAAAAACGCTTCTACTATGAAAGTTTGGTTTTGCGATCATTGCCTCTGCACTGTATCTCCCATCCCAACGCGTTATAAGACGCACGTCGACGTGGTTGCGCACATTCTCCATGGTCTTGCCGAAAACCGCATTGTTCATCAGTTTGTATAAATTTTTCTCGAATTCATTCTTTGCCAAAGTTCTAAATTTTGTGTTGAGTTCAATACAATCGCGAAGCCACAGAGATTGTGTGAATTGCAGTATACGGTGAACCTTTGCGATACAGAAACCGTGACGAATACATTGTTGTAGATTGCGATAATGAATTACGTAACGCTTTTTATCATATAATGTCGCAAGGAGCTTGTCTTCTCGCTTGCCGGGTGGTTTATCGCGCGTTGGACAGAACGGTAAATCCACGTGAACGTCATGGAGATGTTCTGGATACTCCAAGTCCATCTCGAGAATATAGCCAGTTGGCGAATCTAACGCGACACCCATAACGTTAAAATTGTCTACGTCATCGACCCATCGAAAATCGGCGTATGGCAATGGTTGACACATTGCCCAGCCGTACAAGTTGTTAACGTCAAAGTACATAAGATACGTCGACGGTTTCGATGGATCGTACGACTGCATGTACTTGTTGTTGGCCCGCGCATATCTGTTCGAACATTGGCTCAGACCTCCACGTATACCACGTTCGATAAATAGAACCATGTCAACATCGGTAAGAAGTTCAAAATTGACACGAGTATGTTTCAACATCGCGTCCCACGTAAAACCCGGTAGTGTATAGTAATATGTAGGATCGAGTCCATAACTCGCCACGAAACTGTCGCGAAAATTTTCAAAAATATCAGCCAACAACAAAACATCCGTTTTTAAATATAGGTCACTATATTCGCCGAGCGTTTGGATGGAGAACCGCTGCCATACGTTCACGGCGTGTGCGTAATCACTCTCGGAAACCGTATCACCTGTCAGTGAGCTATAAAATAATTCGCGCGATGGTAACTCAGTTTCTTCTAACTTTTCGATACAGTCAACGTATTCGTATGGAAATACACCTTTACGTGTGAAAAGATCGAAATCTTCCATGCTAAGATTAAAAAATTCTGATCGCGTAATTTTCAATTTATCTTTATCGGGATATGACGCTAATTTTTCTAAACTTGAAGCGAAAAATTTATAAGAATCAATAAATCGCAATTTTATACAAGTTTTCTTCTGCTCATTTTTAGTACTGTCGACATGTTTAGAAAACGAGATATATTTTTCTTTCGTAATCGGTAATACATTTACATGACCTTTGTACGCGGAAGCTATATCCTTGATTAAAAAGTGCGCGTCATATCCCGATAAATTATGAAAAACTACGGGAATGCTATGTGAATCTTTGTAATTCAAGTTACAATTTGAGTGCGCGGGACTTCTGTATCGCCCGGTCAAGTGACAATGATCGCGTACCCGTGTGTCATCAGACGCGAACGGTTTTTCGCACACGTGGCAGTGCGTAGCACTTTTAAACTTTTTCTAGTCGTCTCGCGTGAAATCTGCCATGGAAACGTTAGCGGAAAGTATAGACTCTACACTATGCGCTAGTTTTCGGAGTTATTCGACAAACCATGTAATGCAATCATTACCGCAATGAAAACTATACTTCGACAGCGAGTCGTCGTACGAGCAATGCACGTAGTAAGCTATACTAAAAACCTGATGATGTTGGTATGTGTAGCTGGATGTTTCCATGTCTATCTTCGTCTTCTCTAAGGTGCATTCTAAGTCAGCATACACGACAAATGCTTCTTTCTGCAGTGGTTGTGGAAGCTCAGCCACTTATCGTTCTCGCTAGGCAGTCGGATGGTACACTCGTTCATTTTACCGCAGTCTATGGCATGAAGTTCCAATTTTGTGTTCAAGCTAAATAGTGAAGGCATCTGAAAGAAAAAAGAAATTATTATATTTTACAAAGAGAATGTTGCTAAAATATTTATAAAATTTTTTTTATTTTTTTATGTATACATACCTATCACAGAAATATTTCTTGTGTCCATTTTTACTAATTTGCGTATTTACGAGACGGGCTAGATTCTTTATTCATGCGAAATGCCCCACGTTTTCATCCTGTGGATCCTCCACGTACAAGAGGTTAACGTGCTTGTCCCTCTTCGAATCGGTAAGCCGCAATGGAAGAATTTTCTTCTGCTCCTCGATACTGTACACGTTGACGGTGATATTTCGATTTTCGAATCTTTTTATTTGATTCAACGTCATCGGGAGCACGATATCTTTGAGATTTAGTATGGTATTATAGTGAGGATACGAAAATTCCCGTTCCGTATGCACTTTAGCCGGATGTAGAGCGGCAACCACCGACCACGCGTTGTCCAAGGATTGTACGTTGATTACTACTCTCTTCATTTTAATTTCCTTCGACAACTCAATGTGACAACCCGCGTGTAACGGATTGTATTTGTTCACATTGAGAGTCAAATTCAGTATACGCGACAACGTCCATCCGGTATCACGCTCCTGAAATTCCTCCAACGATGTTAGAATAGGTTCGACGACGCGCGACTCATACCATTCTTGTAAATCGGATGCTTGAAAGAGTTCAAAGTTTCTCGTGCTGATACTTTTATTCGCACGTTTATCACCCGATACGAATTCACACCATTGAATACAATATTTAACTTAATATTATTATGTCTCTGCATTACACTATGCACGTGTTCCAGCACTATTTCACTCGCTTCTTCGAGGAATTGGCGAGGCTCGATGTGTCTGGAGTTTATCACGGCACCGGTTAGTATACGGCTTTCGAACGCCGTTTCGATTTCATCGAAGTCCCGCGCTGTACCCGGCACCCATTTGCACAAAACGTTCACACACCGAATCTTTCAAATCTTCAAGTCGCGCGATACGAGCGATCAACGATTGTTTGATCCCAATCGATAATCGCGGACGTTTAACACGACTCTGTTCCTCCAGCGATTCGATGAAATCGTTGCATCGTTGTTCCCACGCGACGTATTCTTCTCGCGTATTCAATTGAGCGGCTTGCTCCACCAACTCACGCTCCGTTTGCTCCATATTATAATATCCTATTTTGCAGTCTTTTTATTAAAAAAAAAAAACTTTGAGAAAATGTATATTTTTTAGTCTATTTTTGCGTCTTTGACATAACTTTCACAAAACATTGTATCACTGTGTGCAAATAGGACACATGTTACAAGGTATTATTTGATAAAGTGGAACTCTACATTCCGAACAGGAATGTTCTCCGAGCATTACATATATGGCGGTATCATGATTACGAATAGCACGAAGATTCGCAAATTGATCGCGTATTACCACGATGCATGATGAACAATATCTTCCTTGACCTTCAGTGTAGTAGAACTCAATGCAGCACATCTTTCTCATAGTATGTATGGCGTTTACTTGAGCTCGATTTAAATCTCGATATATTACTTGCGTTGAATCATCATCGAAATCCATATCACTGTCGAAACACGAATCACTTGACAGAGCATGATCTTCATTGGACATTTCCTGGTCAGACATTTCTTCATGTTGATCATTTATTTCTTCGTCCATCACTTCATCCTCGTGAGGTACAAAATCCATGTTTTTATTAAGCATACACACTGACATAACACCAATATAACATTGAAGAAACTCGACTGCTTGCAAAAATGTGCTCCACAAAAAGAAAATCTTTTCGTTGTATACCTTACCGAAGATGAATCATTTTTTTTATATCCTGCATGCTCTAACGTGATCTAACATGTCTCCGAAGGGGTGATTTTTTTTTATCGCAGTCGAAAAGATAGGCTGAAATATTTTTTGAAAAGAAAGCATGGGAACAGACAGACAGACTTCAATGTTGTTATTGGCGTCGAACCCATAGATAAAAAACGTTCGTCAGAATGCATTCTTATGATATGAGTCATTGTATAGTTTGAAAAGTAATGTGATTTAGTGTTTATGGTTGTTAAAATAAGCAAAATTTCCACATTTAACGTACTGTCCAAAAATGCATATTTGAAAAGAACAGACCGACTTTATTGTTGTTGTTGGCGCCGATTCCATAGATAAAAACGTTCGTCAGAATACATTCTTATGATATGAGTCACTGCATAGTTTGACGTAGGATTGAAAATAAAAGAATCCCCTACATTTTTGGGGTATGTAAAAAAAAAGTGGAAGGGAACACTGTTTAAAAAGGAGGGCCCAGCTAACATTACCACATCAGTCTCAAAAGGAAATCGACTAGTAAAAAAAAGCTCTTGAAAATATTCAGCGAAAAGATGAATTACTACGTTCCAATTCAAACGGAAGGTGAAACATGCGAGGGACAGTAAGTTTGTGTTCAATTACATAAAATTTTGTTTACACGCTTTTGGTATATGTTATACAGGATCTTCAAAAAGTCCGGAAACGGTCGAATATTTCGAAAATGAAGCACTTTTGAAAAAAATGTTTCACACAAAAATTGTAAGATTTAAAATACTGTATTTACTGATCTAATCAGTTTGACCTTGGGTGGCGTCGCCAAGGCCAGATCAAGGTCACATCGATTTTTTTTAAATGGAACCCCCTATTTTTCATTACATTTTCTTGTAGCTTAC